TTAGACGATTATTAGTCAATGTTAAATAAACATGACTTGTCATAATAAATATTTTTTCACTTCTTTTTCCTGCGTAATCACGTTTTTGTACTCTCAACTTATAAATCTACGAAAACTTCTTATTTATTAACCTACACAAAAGACTCATTAAGCATATAACAGGTTGGATTATAATGATTGGCAATTGCATTTGTTCCAAAAAGTTAAATTTATTTCCACCAACCTAGTAAAAAGGCTTACATATATAGTTTTCAGTGGGTATTGCATTTTAAAGAAGAGGACCATCATAAGCAATTTATTGTTTAACTTGACATTCACCTTTTGCCTTGAGAAAGGTGCAGTTAAACCAGGTTATACTACAAGTTCATCTCCTCTTCCGAGAACAAATCGAGATCTGTACTAATGCTGTCCACCTTAGAGGAATGGTATTTGTTCAAGAGCAAACAGATTTTTAGCCATCTCAATTCGCAGATAAAACGGCTTTCTCCAACACCTGCTATTATCGTTCGAGTTCTCCACCCCTTATAATTTATCATTTTATTGTGAAAATTTTAACAATGTTCTTGTATGCATTACACTGATAATGATGAATCCAGAAATTGTCTAACTGTCGTTGTGCCTTTTAATTTGCAAATTAAAGTGCGCATTTTTATGAGTAGCTTTTGACGGGCTTAAATCAGGCTATTTTGAACAATGCTACTGACAGGCAAATAGCCTTTTAAGGCCGAAGAGAAAGAAACTTAGGCAATACGTTTTCCCCAAGCCAAAAGTGTTGAGCGTGGAAAAGGTACAGCATGGAGGCGTGTCTCCTCTATTTTTTGAATGCGTACATGTAGCCTCCTTTTGGTAGCATTAACCGGCGGTTCTTTCGCTTCAGGAAATGGTGACTCTTGGTCAAATTTATGTAGCTATGGCCAGGTTTATTAACTGTTTCTATATACACCTTGTCTTGAAACTGTTACGAAATTTAGAGGATCAATTAATGAAGAGTAAAAAGGTGTGAAGAATGGATGAAAGTAAATGAAAACAATGAGGCAAAATTTAACTTTCAGCATTTTTTAGGCTTTCTAAATTGACATTTTTGAGCAAATTGTGTTAAAATTTTTTGCTCTTTAACAAAAGGCATCTCCTAAACAGAGTTTTACAAGACAGATAGTCCAATTTAAGGCAATAAATAGGCTGCAGAAATCAACCCCACAAATCGAAACTTATGCCGTTTATTTTTGATAAATAACTTTCCTTTATTCGGGCTGATGTTTCCTCTGACGAGTTTTGGTTGACTCCCAAATGATATTAACACCTTTCTACTAACTACTTGATGCCCCCTTTTCAATTTCTTTCATTCGTAAACCATTTTTGGATTTTTTTTAATCATTTATTCAATTAACACATCTAGACCGACTCCTGAAGTCGAAATTCAGTTTTAAGTGAATTCACCGCTCCTTTTTTTAATTTAAATAATCTGTTATATCAGTGACTGTAAGGACGTTCAAATGTGTGAAACCTCCAAACACCATCTCAATTTTACTAACCTCATCTCTACTTAAGATTTTCTGTGGTGTTGGACATCCAAAGTAGATTTTCTCCGCTATGTAAATTTGTAATATCTGATCTACAATAAGAATAAGCAGCCTTTACTACGACCAAATGATGCATTGGATTTGATTTTTGAAGCCGCTTTCAGGGACCCACATTTAACTCCAGCTTTGTTGCCAAAGTTGAGAGGAGTTGAGCATGCCAATCCACCGACGTAAATGGGAACGCAAGATGAAAACACAGACGCCTATTACCTGCATAATCTCCTAAATTACCAGCTAAGACGACGTTTTTGTTGTCGTAGAAATTTATACCCTAATACGAACAAGCTGCAATCAACAATGACCAGAAAGTTTAAAAATAGCAACATATTTGTTTTTTCTCACTAACATGTTCGACTTGGTCGAAGTTCTCCTGCACGCATTTGTCCACCACCGCCTAGAGCTTCAACCCAACTTTTTTATGTACCCACCTAAATATTTTATTACTCCATTACAACCGCAAGGCCTATTTGTCAGTAATCCTTGACTGTCGGTCAATTCGTCTTTATTCACGCCATGTGCACATGGCGTGACAGTCATTTATAAGTCCTTTTCAAAACCAATCACCAACTAGAGATCTTGAATCCAAAGAACATGGCTGAAAGCACAAAAACAAAGCTTGGAAAAGAATAAAAATCGGAGACAAATTTGTGTTTCACACAGTCGGCTCTCTTATTTACATCGTCTTGCTGACGAGGATAAAGTTATAGATGCGACAATCCGTGTGCTCCGTATCGCCACTTTTGCATTGTCTCATGTGGGTGTCGTCCTTTGTCGATACGTAAGCATAAGGAACTACTCATTTATTTAGGTCATTTTTTTGTGTGGATGAGCTTTTCGGTAATGTGATTATCCTCAATTCAAAGTATTTAGTAAATGGATGAAGCAAATTAAATACTTATGGACGGCACTCGGATAATAAAACCTATTAGAAGTATGCATAGAAGAGTAACGACTTCACGCCTACTACTGCTATTCAGATATTTTCCGACCTTGTACATTGCATTTAGACTCGAGGATATAAGTTTTCGTGTAATCTTAAAGTAGTTGAAAACTAAAAATACTGCTGCATTTGGAAAAGGCACAGCTATCACATAAAGGTAATATAGTTTTAAAAATCATTTTAAGAAGACTATTGTAGCGTCCAGAGACTTCCCACCAGGTAGAAGAAGGCAGTAAATGGAGCTGAATACATGTATTCCAAGGAGAACAAGGTAATTAGGTCTGAGCATGGCCCGAAGGTTGGTCCATGCGTACAAGAGCTAGACGAATTTTAAAGCAACCACCAGACACTAGGTGGTGGCATTACAACCTATAACAATCAGCTGTAATCACTCATTCTTACGAGTTTCGCTATCCATGATCCGCTAAATAACGCACGCTATGATTATAAAGTAAGAAAGTCCACCCGATCATCGAAGGTTTCTTTCGAAAGCTAGGCTGGCCACTATTAAAATTACCTTCTTAATTTTGGCTTTCGAATTTTGTTAAATAATCTCAAGAAACTTAAGGGAGACTTAAAGTTTGCTTTGATCACTTGTTTACCTGCCTTTCACGCAGACAATGCTACAATGAATGGATGAACCCTCTTCTAATCCATTTAGTTTTACGTTTAGAAGTCATGGTGAATGCAAAGAGGGCTTACAATAGGTGAAAAAATGGCTCGAATGTGGACGTGGTTTAGTCATTTTTGAGGACACTACGTAGCGTGTCCATTTATCAATTATCAATTAGCAATACTAGGGACCCAGGTCGGCTAAAATTTAAACGATCTCTTGACAGTTAAGCGACTGAAACAATCCGCTTGGGTTAAAGGAAGGTGAAAGGAATACCACTCCAATGTAGTGACTTGCCGTTTTTCTAAGCTATCTGCACATTATTTTTACTCAAAGTAAAATATGAACAAATAAATCTTCACTTGTACCATTAAAAGTATCAAAGAATCGATCTCAAGCCATCCAAGTTTTGGCAATGCATCTCACTTCGAATCTGGATTTAGTAAAAAGTATCAGGCATTATCTCATCTTTGTCTCCTTTTCAGGCAAGGTCACTGAGTACTGCTGTTATGGCTACTGCATTGATCTCCTTCGCCGGTTGGCTAACCCCACGGATCCACATGGGAACCCAACTCCATTCACCTATGATCTTCATTTGGTTGGGGATGGTCAAATGGGAGAGGAACATGTAGTTACAATGAACGAGACCAAAGTGTGGACAGGCATTGTTGGTGAACTGACCAATGGTATGGCTGATCTCTCCGTCGCACCTATGACTATAACCCCAGAAAGGGTTACGAGACTAGAGTTCACAAAGCCCTTTAAGTACCTCGGAATCACAATACTCATCAAGAGGGTAAGCAATTAACCCAGATGAGCTAAAATTTGTGTTGCCCATTTACAGTTGCACAGGATCACATTGGCCTAGACTCGATTCGCTTTGGGCGTAGACCGCTTTTCAATTTTCTTTATCTGATTACGTAGAGCGGTTAAAAGCTTTTTCCCCTTGCCATTTATTAACTGTTTCGGTTACTTTTTTGACTCAGGGCTTTAGATACGGTGGCTGATGTGTTAAAAATGGGTGGATAAAACTACTAAATGTTCAGTATGTATGAAACCCAAAGGCAAAAATAATACATATAGTCATTAAGTCATTGTTGAAGATGAGTGTATTTAGGTGGCGTTATTAACCTTTTTAAAGTGATCGAAGAGGAGAAGGGCTTTTATCTCAGAAAAGTAAAACTAAGTATTAATACAAAGACATCATCCTGACAGGCGGTTGTTCTTCCTCTTTGGCACAATCACAGTCCGATAATGGTAGAAAGTGGTGCAACCTAAAGCTTGTTGGGATGAACATGAGGGTCTTAAGCCTAAGCATAAAAGTTTAAGAGAATGCGATATTATTATGTCGACTCCGAAAACTACGAGAGAGCGGTGTTTTTGTAGGCAATGAAGGCACGCTTCACCGAATCAGGGATGGCTTTTGTGCCACTGTAATACTCTGTCCCAGTAATCTTGATCTAGGCTAAAAAATGACACGTGGCACTTAAAGTAAATTTTGTTACCGGAAATTTTGGTTTATTTTTGCTTTATTTTTTGATCAAAACCAAGCAGTTTCTGTTTCCAAAATGCAGTTATGTTAAGCGCTTTTATACCTTTTTATGGGAGTCTCGTAAAATTGGATTAGCAAATCGTCATTGAAGGAAATCAACACAATATTATTTTTATTGGCGTATTTAGAGCAACAAAACTGTCGTAGTCTGTAAACTTTGGTGTTTTAGGAGCGATCAAAATCCAACTTAGCATCGTTTCTCCAGCCTTTCGAAAGCACCCTCTGGGTCCTAGTCGGGGTCTCAGTTCATGTAGTGGCCTTCTTCCTCTACCTTCTTGATCGATACTCAGCCATCCGTTGTCTTCATCGAGCTCGCCGCCATAGAACGAATAATAGGAATGCCACCGGTAACAGCAAAAACGGTTGCGATAGCAAAGAAGAGGAAGAGGAATTTAATCTTGGCTCTTCTATGTGGTTCACTTGGGGCATTCTGCTTAACTCTGGCATTGGTGACGAAACGCCTAAAGCGTTTTCAACGCGAGCACTGGGTATGGTGTGGGCGGGCTTTGCGATGATCATTGTCGCCTCCTACACTGCGAATCTGGCGGCTTTTCTCGTGCTGGACCGACCGGAGGCGTCCATTTCTGGAATTGATGATCCTAGGGTGAGTATTTTATTGCTTTAATTTTTACCCTACTCGGGTGATTTTACTATCAATGTTTTAATTTTCCTGTTGTACCTTGCAAAAATCAACAGCCAATGAGCTGCGAATTGTGGAGTTTTGCCTCTGTATGTCCAAGTTATTCTGTGTGGGTTTAATCTGGTAGACATTGGCAGATTTAAAGGAAATAACATGAAAAAGGGGTCATTTCTCGAATTCTCGAATTTATTGCGAAGTAACGCGTATTGTTTGGTTCAACCCATTAGGACAGTGTTTACTAACATTGTATAGAAAATAACGGCAGTCATGCAGGACAAATACGAACGAATTCTTGAGCTTTCATTTG